CCTATCCGCAGCCACAAGCAGGTGCCTGACCATCTCCTTCCTCTCACCGACGTCGAGCTCGTCCATTATTGCGGGCATCGTGTCCGTGTAGACGAAGTGAAGGAGTGCTCCGAAGACGTCCGGGTTCATGTCCTCGATGGTCACACACTGACTTGTGCTCTCAGCCGCCACAGCCACCGGCCCAAAGAACTCAGCGCTGAACACCGGCGACCGCATCGCGAGTATGATCTTGTGGGCAGGGAAGACCTCGTCTCGGACCTTGAAGGTCACATCGGCGCCTTGCTTCTCCTGCAGCAGCCTCCGTAGGTTGTCCGACAGGTCCGAGGGCGGCACTCGAACGACGACCTCGAAGCCGGGGCTCATGGCGGCGGCGGTCTTCCTCACCCATGGTTTGCCCATTGGAACAGTGACGTCGCACTCTATCACCAGGCAATCATCGCGCAGGAACGTCGACGACGACGCTTCCAGCTCGCTCCTCTTCTTGAGCTTGGGCAAGCCCCATGCAGAAACCGCAGACGGGTTCTTGGTGACGTCGGAGGTGAAAGCCTTGGGACCCTGGTCGAGCAAAACCGTGGACTGTCCGGTGGCCTGGTCGACCAACCTCAAGTCGAAGCTCGCCATCACCTCGGCGACGTCGGTGCTCCTGAGCTCGAGGAAGGCCGCCGCGTAGTCCGCCGACGATTGCAACCACCCGTCGGGGTAGAAGCGGATGGACCAGTCGTAGCCGCCGACGCCGAAGGTGGCGGACCTGACGAAGCTGCCGATGCCGAGGCCCCTGTGCAGGCTGTACCTGTCCACCTTGAACGCGTGCGTGCCCCGCGCGGTCTCTACCGTGCTCGTCGACGCCGTCCTCGTTCTTGGCCTCATGCTCATCTGGGATGGTAGCTGCTAGCAGCGCGAGGAAGTACCGTAACGACGGCGCTGGATGCAGTCGTGTGGATCGGATACTAGGGACAAGTAGGTACTCGATTTGAGATTTTATGGTGCCATCAGCGCCTACTCTCGATTTGAGATTTGATGGTGCCATGGGCGCCTGCGTGATGAGGAGACGGACACGGTCCCGGAAACCGGAGTCCTTTCGTTCCTGTCTCAGAGACGGTCTCCGACTCCGAGTTCGGTAGGCAAGACAGCCCCGTGCAGACCGCAGCTTCCTGACGCCTTGTTTAGCTGAAGCAAAGAAAACCGCCATACCAGCTAGCTCCACACTTCACCATCCCTTATACTCACTCCATTCCAAAATTATAATATGTTTTGCCGTTTTGGCTTTTTCTAGATACACTTCTTGTACTGTTCATCCAGACACCGTGTATATCTAAATACGTAGCAAAAGCTGTGAATGAATCTAAAATAATTAAAACGTCCTGTAATCGGAATGGAGCAACTAATTATTTCAATAAAAAATTCATATTAGCTTCTGAGGTGATGGGAAAACTCATTTCATTTACAAACTCATAAAACAAAAAAGTGTGGAGCAAGAATATGATGGACCACTGAGTCTCTCAAACCAAACACTGAAACAAGCCAATAACTCAACGTACCCAGAACAGCTTACTACTACTTAACAATCAGATCATGCAAGGAGCCCATACCGTGTTCAGAACAATGTCATCGCCATTTAAAAGTGTTGAAATCAGCATCAAGAGCACAGGATTGAGAAGCAAGCTGCAGTAGTTTTTTTTTTTCAAAATGGTCTGCCGTACAATTGAAAGGGAAGAGGATGCCTGATCTTCTATCGAAGAATTACTTCAGACATCCGGCAACATTGTAAACGGAAGCTGTTACATCTGGATGATAACAGTAAAATGGTGAAGCTGGTACAAGATTTCTTAGTAGTTACAATGAGCTCAACCTAGACAGCAGCATTCTTATCCTTCCTCAGTCTGCGCAGTGGCTTCAGACATGAAACAGTGACTTGGTCACATGGACAAAGTGCTGCCACAGTGAAACATTCCAGAACATCTCCCGCGTCTGCACTGATCAGATTCTTGGTGCTGCAAGAGTGCCAATACAAGCATCAGAGTACTGCAAGCTAGTGTGATTATAGAATAAGCTGGGGACAAAGAAAACGCACAGATCAACTGAGTTTATCAGATGAAAATATCACGTACCTCCACCAATTGTGGCCTCAGGGAGCCGTTCTATCGAATACCTGTGTCTTGTGATGTACATGATTGGAACACCAGGAACCTGAGAAATTGAGAAAATGCCCATGATATAAGCATGCAAAAAAAGCTTCTTCGATATTAGAACAAGCATGTCCTGAACTGTGAGCAGCGAACACGGAACATACCTTTCTTATCCTCCTTTTCAAATCTCTATCACAAGTAGCAACTATGTAGCATTTGTGCTGTCACGTAAAAATACATGGTTTAGAACAAATAAAACAAAATGCCTAACATACAAGGTAAATAAACCAATATAACAATTGACTAGGTATTGTGAGTTGTGATGGTGAAGAATACAATTTAATGCAATTAAATGCACTGACTACAACATGTTACCATGAACTAAGCTCAGTACGCACATGCAAATTAATCAAAGCTAAAGCATAGCCCATAGATCTGTATATTAAGACTATAAGAGTAGTCAGAGGACATATCTTCTATAGGTCAGATATTTGATAGTTGATACCATTCACATGCAAGTTCCAATTGCTTAACTTGGAACAAATTTTGATACTATACATATAGACACAATACTTTAGACAATAACATAAAAAATTCAGGGGAGAAAACACAACGAGTGCTATTTTTGTTCACCTTGGGAATAGATACAGTAGAATTTTGGAAAACATAGCAATCAGCCACAACTCTCAAATATTAGGTAAAAGTAAATTGTACTATTTTAGAAAATAAAGTAAATAATTTCAGCACGAAGTTTGAAATTTGAACAGCCAATGTTTCAAGAACTTGGACTTACATCCAAATCAACATTTGAGAAGGAACTAGGAAGATACATTCTATGCAACATTACGTCATTACTTCACTTCTGTACGCAATGTCCCTGTTAACTAGCCATGATTATAAGTCACAAGTTCCCTAACACGAGCTATCTTCCTAATTTGCTATAGAGTTAGGACATAACAGAATACTCCCAGTACTCGAGCTCCAAACAAACACAGAGTGTTGAAGAAGGCAGAGCTTTTACCTGAGTGACCCTCTCCACAATGCAGTCATCAGCATAAGTTCCCTTATGTGTGCATGCCAATCTTTGGAACCTTGGGTCCTTGGCGATTCTGTAAGCGAGGTAAATTAGGTTATACAGTCAGATGAAAGTTATACTGCAGAATCGAATATAACTGCAACTTGCAAGTACGTGCAATCAACATTTATAGGTGGAAGATGACAACAGGAGGCATAGATTAAAAAAAATAAATAGCTAAACCTCTATTTGAAGACAATGAAGCAGATAAACGCAAAAGAAGACATTGAACACCACGGTATGGCAACAGCTTTGGATAGAAGCACACCTCAAGGCCACACGATACTTCTGTCCAAGTTTTTCAAGCTCAGCCATAACGCAGTCAGTGATACACGGGGTACCTTCATAACAAGGAATCAGAGTTGACAGGATATTAAATGGGTAGCTCAGGACACTAGAAAGATAATAGGAATGCAAGATAACAGAGTTACATGCTTACATTTTGCATAAAGGCAATCCATCATTCCCTTCTCCAAATCCAGCTGCATGAGGGGAAAGAAGGATTTAGTCACAAGGATAAGTATTTATGACCTAGAATTTAGCCCCATTATTATGTGTTCTATAGAATACAGGATTCAAAATCAACTGCACAGCATCCATATGAGTAGGTTGTTGTTTGTTTTGCTATTTGCTAAAACAGTAAAAACTTACTTAACAGACATACTAATAATTTGTTTTGATTTCCATAAGGTTTCAGTATATTGTAAGAATCAGTAGCTCCATGTTAGCATTTATCCTTATGTAGAGATATGAATCTAGAGAAGTCTACTTATTACAACAAAGTGAAATTGTGCACAACCTCTCTTGTGACAACCTAGTATACAGATAAGCTATAATGTGTCAACAATCAATTAAATCCACCGCATGTAAATCAGTATCTTCAATTCTTAACTGATGGAATGAAGCAGTGGACATGCAAGTATGCACCCTCTGGTGCATATAATAACTAATTTATTGTGCAGTCAGAATTAACCTTAAGTCTCACGGAATTAATCAGTGAAATAGCAGAGCAGCAGATAATTCAACGACTAACCTTATTCTGTATGGAGAAGTTGATGAAGTTGGTATCCACAATCACCCGGTACGGCGGCCCCAGCGCAGTGTTGTAGCTGAAGAACAACGCCGACGAAACTTGCGGCCTGCAAATCACAGAAGCCAAACGGCATCAGCAATCCAAACAAGCACAGGAAACCAAACCGAGCCCCCCAAAATCCGAGCGCAAGCAAGCACTCACACATTCCGGCCGAGCTTCTCCTTGTCCGCATCCTTCTTCTTGTGGTTCAGCACATCCTCCTTGTACCTATCATAAACAAAAATTAGAATTCGCGGTAGCATGAACCTAACCATAGAGGAGCGGACTGGCAGCTGGAGATGGTTCCCTTACTTGTTGATGGTTTTCTTGGTGATAATCTTCTTCACCGCCGCGAATTTAGGGCCCTTGCCCTTTGCCTTCCCCATCTCGAGCCAAACCCTAGCACCCGAAGCTACCTCGCGCTCTCCACGGCAGGCGGCAGGAGACGGCGGCGGCGGCGGCGGCGGTGCCTGCTGTCTGATGGGTCTCGAGAGGTCGGCGGAAGAGAAAGGGTTTTCGGGTTTTCGCCTCCGCAAAGGAAGAAGGCGGCTGCTTGGTGGGCTCGCTCTGGTTTCTTATGAACTTGGGCCTTTATTGCCCAGCACGGCCCAAGGAGTTGAGTTTGATCTGTTGGGTTTGGTTGCTCGCCGTCTGGGCCGTTGAATGTGAGAGTCCTGTCTTCGTTCGTCGTCGGCCTGATCCGGAGGGGGGAGGGAGGTGGTGGGGAATGGCGGCGGCGGCGGCGACGCTCCGGTGGGTGCTGCAGCTGCACCGGGACGTGCCGCGAGCGGCGCGGTTCTACGCGGAGGGTCTCGAGTTCAGTGTGAACGTCTGCACGCTCCGCTGGGCCGAGCTGCAGTCGGGGCCGCTCAAGCTCGCGCTCATGCACACCAACGACAGGTGCGAATACTGCTGTTTGTTACCGCGCTCTCCTTGTAGTATTATCCAGTTCGTATGACTTCGGGCTTCTGATGGATGCGGATTCGGAGTTGTTCGATGGAATGAGGTGGAGGGTTCGATGTGGCGGTTTTCTATCCACTACTATGGTGTTACACGCTGCGAGGCTCATTTGTTCGATGAAATGCGTGTGTGGAGCACTTGGTTTTATTTAAGTTCTGAAAACTTGGGTGATGGCATGCGAGATTGGTGAAGAAATCAAGTCAATTTTCATATGATAGTCGTGTCAATTTTGGTTGTCCTGGAATTCTTCTCCTGTGGATATGATCTGGGGGTTCAAAATTCCCTCTTTTTAATTTCCTTATTTTTCACTGGCATCTATCAGCATAGACGAGTAGTTGGGCAGCTTAGTTGGAGTGAGGACTAAGTGATTGCTTTACTGCATGCTTGCCCCACCTCCCATTGGAAAACGGTAAATTGGTCTTGTTTTGTGCACGCCAAATGGCAAATGCCAATGAATCCTTCATTTCTGGGCAATGATTTGCACTTTACAGGTTACTAGTGGGCTTTGAGCAAGCTCATCCTTCTGAGTAAAATGTTCTTTTTGTTGATCAGCTTGGTTGGACTTACCATAGGCTCCTGTACCCAAGTGCCCTAGTCCAAAACATATGACACAAACTTGGCGACCCCATAAACAGAATAACTCTGAAATGTTTGGAAGGAGTGTTGGATCTATTGCATGAAAATATGAGATCCATGGAAAAGTAGTTGGGCAAGTTAGATGGAGTGAGGACTAAGTGATTGTTCTACTGCATCCTTGAAAAGCGGTAAGTTGTTCTCGTTTTAGTGTAGGGTGCAGGCCAACTGTCAATGGATCCTCCATTTCTGGGCAATGATGTGCACTTTACAGGTTACTACTGGCCTTCGAGCAAGCTCAGCCTTCTCTGAATAAAAGGTTCTTTTTGTTGCTAGGTTAGACTTACCATAGGCATAGGTTATGTGCGGAAATCCAAAACATACTGGACAAACTTTGCAACCCTATAAACATAACAGCTCTGAAGTGTTGGATCTGGGGGGTTTCTTGAGAAAAACAATGACCAAGCTGAGTGATGACTCTACATTCCAAACATTGCATGAAAATGATACTTGAAGTCTTCAATACATTCCATAGTGCTCCTTGCAATCTTGCTAGGTCAAAGTAGTGTTTGAAAACAAATGATTAAGAGTCAAAAGGAATTGTCCTCCTTGGAGCTTTTCTCAGTTTTTTGTGTGGAATTCAAATTTCATCATCGTATAAATATAAGCTAGACAAACCTCACATGGGCAATGTTTTTTTTTTTTTTTTTGCAATTGTCCAGTGCATGACATCATAACTGTTATCTTATGTTTTGTACATACTTGCAGTAATCTTGCATCACAGAGAGTCTATTCTTCGATGCTGTCCTTCACTGTACCAGACAAACAGTACTGTATCGAAGTTAATGGCATTGGGAGCTGAGTTGGATGGACCAATCAAATATGAGATCCATGGAAAGGTATTGTCTCCATATTCCCATAATTTCCATTTATAATTGTATTTTCAGGACCTCAGAATCATCTATATGATGTTATGTTTCTTTGGGTTTTCTATTTCTTCTAATGCAGGTTGCAGCATTGCGATGCATCGATGGGCACATGCTAGGCCTTTATGAGCCAGCCTGAAGAACTCATGCCACAATGAAAGTAATGAAAAGCTCCATTAAGCTCTCACTGAAGACTGATGTGTATGTCCATTTGTTCCCGGCAAAAGATATTTTGGCATATGTCAACTCACTGGGCCTGGTGTGCCTGAAGTGGCAGAACTCCTTTCCGTTAGCAAAATCATGAGAGACAATGTAGATGGTTTACAGCAGCTGAACATTTATCTATCATTCTCTGCCTCGTACTGCTGGTTATGCTGCACATTTTCTCTCACTGAATGCACCTATAGCAGGTTAGCATGGTTCCTGCTCAGTCATAGCCTTGTCTCATTACATTGTGTCAGTATATCTAGTTCAACTTTAAATTCTAGTTTTACAATGTGTATGTAGTTTTCAATTTGCAATTCAAGTGCGGGAGTGCTCTGTACCTGTTCATCCTTGTAATTGAAATTCTTATATAATATAAGCACTTGTTTTGACAACTGTGCACCATAAAATAGCTGTTAACTTGTGTGTAAACCTCATGACAGCAACTAATCCCCTTCCTTTCAGATCCCACAACCATACCCTTGTAACTGCACTGTTCTATTTTTCACTTCAGTCACCCTTGCCTTTTCACTGGTTTGCCAGAACAGGAAGTGTTGGGCTTCTGGCTCTCCGGATAACACGCGCTTTGCTAGCTGTGGCGCGTGCATAATCTATGTGACTATGTGAGCGATTTGTTATTCTTGGTCCAGGGAGCATCATGGCTGTATGAGCACCCTTTTCTGCCCGAGTACTCATCACAACTTCACAAGGTCCGCCGTCCAGAGCTCTAAAAGCATCAGCAAGCACTGAGTAGCAACCACACCAACCAGATGCCACTGGATCCTCTTCGCCAACAAAACGCCCAGCAAATGCCAGTCACTTTTACCTTTGTCCATGGCCGTTATCCTATGTGCTAGCTAGTTCTTTTGAAAGAAAGGCCCTGTTCGCTGGTCTGAATTTTGGCTGAAACTGACTGAAAAATATTGTTCCGGCTGAATTATTGTAAGAGAAAAATACTGTTCCGGCTGAAAAAACAAGTCGAACAAGTTAAACTTTTAAGACAAGCGAACGGGGCCAAAATGTGACAGGAGAGCTCTGCCATGCTATTGCTATGTGCTAGCTAGCCACCTGCCGTCCGACACTCCTATATGAACTACTACACCAAAGGACAAAGGTACCGCGCCCCAATCCTGCAGCTGCTGCAGTCATGTCGCCTGTTAGTTTGGCTGATAAGTTATGGTTAAAAGTACTGTTAGTTAATTTGTTGTGAGAAAAAAATACTATTCGTTGGCTAAAAAATATGGCTTATAAGCCAAGCAAACAGGCCTACTAGCATCTCGGCGGTAAAAGAATGCAGTAGCATCTAACTGCTCCTCAACGGGAGAAGAATGGAGTGTATGAGTGTCCTGTCGTCGGATAAGCGTCCTGTGCTCCCGCTGAAGACAGCGAGGAGTGGCTGTTCGGCTGGGGCTGGGCTGGCCGGCGTACTCACATCGGCACTGTTCACGTGACAGTATTTTCAGATTGAATAGTCAGTCCTGCCGAACAGCCTCGAGGTTTGCTGCTTTGCTGCCGGGATCGTCTTGTTGGTTGGTTGGTTTGGGAGTTTGGCCAGTCGCTCTCGGCGGTTGCCGGAACCCGGAGGGAAAAGCTAGTCTGATCAAAGCGCCTGCTCCTGTATCTGGTAGGTGAGGCACACCAGCTCGATCTCGTGCTCCGTATTGCACGGTGAGCTTGAGGCCTTCAGATGAAGGCAAACCGGACTGCATGCGTGCTCATTACACTGTGTCAGTGTCAGTATATCTAGTTCAATGTTTAATTCTAGCGTTAAAATGTGCACCTTGTTTTCGATTTCCATTTCTAGTGCACGAGTGTGTAAAGTATCACGCGAGCTGTGGGACTGCTCGATTCTTGTTGATCTCGTGAGCATCATGGATTCATGGATGGATGAGTATTCTGGATGGATTCATGGCTGTATGATAGTTCCACCATTTTCATGGCAACAGAGACCAGTGTGTGGTCTGTACGCTGGTGGCCAAACAGACACAAGTATTTGCGGGAAACGCGCGCCGGGATTACAGCGGACGCCAACCTCTGTCCAAACAGAAAGTCGCCACTGGAGATTGAGGCATCAGCATTGAGCAGCCAACCTGCTCCCACTCGCATCACCTCGTCAAACGGCCGACCTGCAAATGCCAATCACTTTTAACCTTGGTCCATGGCCGGCCGTCATCTGTCATGTGCCGGTCACCTGCCGTCCTAGTCCTATACTCCTCCTATGAGCTCCAACAAAGCTGCCGCCTGCCAATCAGTCAGCTGCACTCACGCACTAGCCTTCCACAATTCACTGCACCGGCCGCTAGGCCACTGCAAACACACAGTATTGTGTTAGTTCTAGAGCAGTAGCATCAACTGCTCCTCGATGGGAAAAGAAAATGGAATGTGTGATTGTCTTGTCGTCAGATAAGCTCCCTGGCCTGCTGCCGGAATCGTTGGTTGGTTTGGCCACTTGCTCTCGGCAGTTGCCGTTGCCGGAGCCCGTAGGGAAAAGCTAGCTAGCTAAGCGCGCGTCTGCTGCCTCTGTATCTGCCTAGCGAGGTCCATGCCCCAGCTCTCCTCCTCGGTGCATATAATCGTCCGGCCGGCCATTAACGCCCTTGGCCATGGCCTCCTAAATAAAGCAAACTCACCTCATTCCTTTGCTAATTAGCCTCCGTGTCCAGCTTGGCCTCTCCAACCACCACCGTTCCGTTCCATTCCATTCCTCTCCGTCGCGATGGCGGCTTCCTGCCGCCGCCGCCGTCACACGCCGGCGCAGAGCGAGCGCACCGACGAAGACAAGGCGTCAATGGCCAAGGCATCCCTGCCGCTGCTCGTGCACGCCGTCGTCCTCGCCGCCTGCTTCTTTCACCCTTGCACGGCGCAGCCGCAGAGCCGCACCGAAAACATCTCGACGATCGAGGCCGCGGTCCGCGCCCGCGCTTCCGAGCTGCTCCGCGACACCGCCAACACGAGCCAGCTCGTCGACCTGCCCCTCCCGACCAACCTCTCCGCCGGCGCGGGCGTCGTCCGGGCCTGGGCGCTGCGCGTGCGCAGCAACGCGCTCTGGGCCGACGGCGTCAACGCCACGGGCTTCGCCATCCCGCCGCGCGTCGTGCCGGTCCCGTTCGCGCGCCGCCTCACCATCGTCTTCGAGCGCTTCGTGCGCAACTCCACGACGGCCGCGTTCGCCGCGCCGCGTCGGTACGCGCTGGCCGCGCCCGTGGCGGGCCTCCTCGCGTACGACGCGTCGGCGGGGCCCGACGCCCGGGTCTCGCTCCGGGCGTTCGGCGCGCCGGTGCGCGTCGAGTTCAAGGACGACCTATCGGCGGAGAAGGGGTTCATGTTCAACGCCACCACCGCGCGGTGCGTGACGTTCGCGGCCAGCGGGGAGGTCGTGGCCATGCACGCCGTCGCCGCGTCGGGCTCCGCGTGCCCGGTCACCGGCACGGGCCACTTCGGCATCGCGGTGCGGCTGCCCGAGACGCCGCCGCCGCCGCCGCCAGCCTCGGCCGTGAGAGCCAGGTGGTGGGCGTGGACGGTGGGCGTCGGCGCTGGTGGGGTGCTGGGAGCCAGCGTGTTGGCGCTCTCTGTGGCCGGCGCGGTGAGCTGGAGCAGGAGGCGGCGAAGGGAGGAGATGGAGCGGCGGGCGATGGCTGGGGAGGAGCTCGGGAGGATGACGGTGCGCGGGAGCAGGATGCCGTCGGCGAAGGTGGTAAGGACGCGGCCGGAGTTGGAGGAGCGCAGCCCGCAGTGGTAGCGGTAGGCGAGCTCCTCTCCGAGTACGTTGCACCAGCCGCCGCTGGCTCAACTGCTTGAGGATTCTAACGTTTCCTTCTTTGTTTTGCCACACATGGTGTGTCAAATCATCGAACTTTCTTCCAATTTTCAATGTAAAATCTTCTCTTTTAGATTCTGCGGCGCAGGAAACTTGTACAGTGTTAGCAGCAGCACAGGGGGAAGAGATGGAATCGGAGGATAGTGCAGCAATACAGCAGTAGCAATTCATCCGGAATAGCTAGGAAGGAAGTGGAATTGGGAGGAAGAAGATGAACAGAAGATGAGTAGCTAGAACAAATTAGGATATCTTATCGTTGATTACAATATTCTTCATATCCCTCCCTCTCCATAGCCGTCGGATCCAGACCGAGATCGAAGATAAAGTGCACCTCGGACGCTACTTTACTATTTCATTGAGAAGAAGACGGTTTTGCGGTTTTGGGCTGAAACAGTAAAGTATGACCAGAAAATGAAAAATGGAAATGGCTCAAAGAAAAATAGAAAAAGAAAACCCGGTGTCGGCGGATTTTTATTCGCAGATCTCGCTCCTTCATTTGTAGGATGCACGGACGGCGTGGAGATTCACTGGACTGGATTTGGCCAGGCCAAGATGATAGCGCGAGGTCGACCGAGTGCCCAGTTTATGGGGTGTAATGGGCCGTGGGCCGCCTTTGCCGCTTTTGGGCGAGGAAGAAGCAGATGAAAAAGAATGAGTTTTCCTTTTTCTATTTCCAGTAAATGTTATTTCCTGGAAATTGATTAATGGATTAAAGAAAATAGAAAAAGCATTTTTCTCTGTGGGTAAAATTCAAAGAAAAGAGAAGTTTTTCCACAGCTAGAGAAATTGTTTATTCTCCGGTTAATTTGTACCAACGTGGTATTTAATTGGAGAAAAAGAGATTTTTTCGCTGCTAAAGAGAAAATGTTTATTCTCCAGTTAATTTGTACCAACGTGGTATTTAATTGGAGAAAAAGAGATTTTTTCGCTGCTAAAGAAAAAGTATATTCTCCAATAATTTTGAACAGACATGATATTTAACTGGAGAAAAGAAAAGTTTTTTCAGTAAATCTTTATTTTTTGAAAATTGATTGATGGATTAAAGAAAATAGAAAAAGCAATTTTCACTGTGGATAAAATTCAAGGAAAAGAGAGTTTTTCCACAGCCAAAGAAAAGTTGTTGATTCTTCAGTTATTTTGAACCAATGTGGTATTTAATTGGAGAAAAAGAGTTTTGATATGATTATAATGTTGTTATTTTCTGACCAACGTTGTTAATAACAATATCATAATTATAATGATTTATGCATTAATTCTACTTCTGCCCAACGGTGATGTAGAATTAGTGTATAAGAAAAGTTGATAATTTTAATGATTTATGCATTAATTCTACTTCTGCCCAACGGTGATGTAGAATTAGTGTATAAGAAAAGTTGATAATTTTAATGATTTATGCATTAATTCTACTTCTGTCCAACGGTGATGTAAAATTAGTGTATGAGAACAGTTGTAAAAGTTAATGATTTATGCATTAATTATATTTCTGCCCAACGGTGATATAGAATTAGTGTGTAAGAACAGATGTGAAAGTTAATCATTTATGCATTAATTCTATTTCTGCCCAACGGTGATGTAGAATTAGTGTATAAAAATAGTTGTATGTTTTGATTTTGACCAACGTTGGAATCAAGGCATGCAAATGGTGTTATTTTATGTTAAGAAAAGTTTTGACCTGATTTTCATCTTGTCTAAGGTGGACTGGGTAGTCACCTCACCGTGTTCCACTGAGATTGTGGCACCGGTGAGGGAGACAAAAGTGAATGATGCCACTTGGGCAACTAAAGAAAGAGATTTTGAATCCCAAAAGATATCCTATGGCTTTTGAGCATAGGAAGTGGGTCACTATAAACAAGAAATGTTTGGCGGTGATAAAGAACATGATTGAACCTGTAATTGTGGGCTCAATCTCAGAATGTGACATGGTCACCGAATACCTCGATAGAATAAAGAGTCAGTTCACTGGCTCTTCAAAGACATATGCCACTTAGCTGATAAAGTAGTTGGTTACAGAGTGTTACTCTGGAAATGGTGGCATAAGAGAGCTCACGATACGTTATCGAAATTATGGCACTGTCGTTTAGGCCATATTTCGAGGGGGAGAATAGAAAGACAAGTTAAGAATGATATTCTTTCTCCATTAGAGCTCTCAGATTTAGAACAATGCAGAGAATGCATAAAAGGAAAGTATGTAAAGAAGATTAAGAAAGATGCCAAATGAAGTGCAGGAGTTTTATAGATTATTCACACAGACATCTGTGGTCAGTTTTCCTGTAAAGAGTGTGGATGGTAATGATTCGTTCATAACATTCACATATGAGTACTCCCATTATGGCTATATTTATCCAATCAAAGAAAGAAAAGATGTATTGGATAAATTTAAGATATTAAAGATTAAGATAGTCAGGTCTGACCGTGGAGAAGTACTACGGTCAGCATACCCTAAAAGAATGGCATAGTAGCCCAGTATTCTATACCGGGCAAACCTCAGTAGAATAGAGTAGCTAAAAGAATCAATCGTACCCTGATGGATATGGTGGACAGTATGATAAGTTATTCCACCTTACAGTTGAGCCTGTGAATGGAGGCGTTGAAAACGGCCATTCATATTCTCAATAAAGTATCAAGAAAGTCGGTGCCCAAAACACCGTATGAGTTGTGGACAGAAAGAGTACCCTCACTAAACACTTGAGTGTGTGGGGGAGCCCTGCTGAGGCTAAAGTATTTAACCCAAACATTGGAAAATTAGATCCCAAAATAGTAAGTTACCATTTCATTGGCTACAAAGAAAAGTCAAAATGTTTTCGTTTCTACTATCCACAGTGATATACAAAGTTTATGGAAACGAGACACGCTGTCTTCCTAGAGGACGAAAAGATGAGGGGAGGGCATGGTAGCTCGAGAAATTGTCCTTGAAGTGAAGCGGGTGTATGCACCCACTCCAATGATTCATGAGCCATTTTTCTCACTACCTACTGTAGCTGCACCGACAGTGCTAGATACTGTGGTGCCAGCACCTGTTGTTATCCCACCTGTGGCAACAATGAATGACGATGAGGAACCTGTTCTTCAGGATTCTATAGAACCTATTGCCACACATGAGGGGGAGCAACAACAGCCTCAAATAGAAGATGTGCCAAATGTGAAGGCCCCTAGTAGGTCTCAAAGAGTTAGAAAATCAGCTATTTCTGTTGATTATGAAGTGTATAACACTAAGGAATTCCAAATGGAAGATGAAATGAAATCGATGAATGTCAATAAAGTTTGGGATTTGGAAATAATTCCTAAAAGAGTCAAAACAGTAGGCTATAAATGGGTCTACAAGACTAAACATGACTCTCAAGGGAATATAGAGACATAAAGTGTGACTTGTGGCAGAAGGCTTTATGCAAAGAGAAGGGATTGATTACAATGAGACCTTTTCTCCAGTCTCATGTAAAGTTTCCTTCAGAATCATAATGGCATTAGTGGCACATTACGATTAAGAATCACATCATATGGATGTAAAGACGGCATTTCTCAATAGAGACTTGGAGGAAAATGTTTACATGGCACAATCGAAAAGTTTTGTCATGGAAGGAAAAGAACGAATGGGATACCGTCTAAAGAAATCCATTTATGGATTAAAGCAAGCTTCAAGACAGTGGTACTTGAAGTTTGATCGGTCAATAAAGAATTTTGGGGTTTAAAAGAGAATGTAGAGGACATTTGTGTCTATGCAAAGTTTAAGAATGGGAAGTTTATCTTCCTTGTCCTGTATGTAGATGATATCTTACTTGCTAGTAGTGATGTCAGTCTACTATAGGAGACAAAGAAGTTTTGTCCCCAAAACTTGATATGAAAGATCTTGACGAAGCCTCGTTCGTTCTAGGGATCGAGATTCACCGAGATAGAAGAAAAGGGTATAATAACTGTCACAAAAGGCATATATGGAAAAGATCTTAAAGAAATTCAGTATGCACAAGTGTAGTCCCTCACCTGCTCCTATAGTCAAGGGCGACAGATATGGGGATTTTCAATGCCCCAGGAACCAATATGAGCTCAATTGATAAAGTGAAAGTGGTTCCATATGCTTCAGCTGTCGGAAGCTTGCAATATGCTCAAGTATGTACACGCTTACGACTTGGCATTTGTTACGGGTTTTACTTGATAGATTCGAGCAATTCTGGAATAGAACACTGAAATTAGTAAAGAAAGTCTTGCATTATTTGCAAGGAACGAAAAGGCCTCATGATGACATATAGAAGATCGATTCACTCCACATGGTGGGATATTTAGATTTCGATTATGCGAGAGTGAATGCATATCCAGACGTGGATTTTCTATCATCTCGCAAAGGGAGCTATTTCATGGAAAAGCTCAAAGCAAGCTGTCACTACATCGTCCACAATGTATGACGGTTCAGTAGCGTGTTATGAGGCAACGGGCGGTGAACTAACTAACGAAGTTCATACCCGGTTTGAAGGTGGTTGGCGACATCTATAGACCACTAAAGTTATCTGCGATTATAATCTGGCAAGATGCAGGATGCTCACAACATAAGTCAAGTGGTCTTTGCCAAACACATTGACATAGAGTATTATGTTGTGAAAGATAAAGTCGGGATCAAGTCATAAGTCTTGAGCATATAAGAATGTAAAGGATGCGCACGGATCCGCTTACAAAAGGCTTACCACCCAACATGTTCAGAGGACATGGTGTTGAGAGAACATGTAGCTAGCTTGGGTTTAAGGGAAAGCCTAAAATATTCCTGGACAAAAGAAGGCCCAAAGATAAGTATCTATTTCAGAACAGAGTAGTGAGTTGTAGCTGTTAAGTCTATCGGCAATAGACCGTGACGATGAGACATGCTCTATGAGCTAATCTGTAATGGAATGAACAAAAGTAAATGATATGAAAGTGAAAGATGGAATGAGATCAAGAGG